GTGGTGGTTTATTATTTTTACGACCATCGGATTTTTTAGATTTACTGGGTGATCGTGATCGTGATTGACTATTTGAATTGGTACTACTACGGCGACGATCACCAGATTGACTTCGTTTTCGAGATCTTGAACGAGATGCAGATGATGCAGATGATGATCGTCGTCCACTTGTTTTCTTTGATAAATAAATAAAAATTATAGATATTGAACGTAATAATTATTTATGATAAACTTACTTTAGATGATGATGATGATGATTTTTTAGTACTTGCTTTTTTGCCTTTAGCACTTATTCTATAATAACCATTGCTATATCCCGTACCTATTTGTAATAATAATAATAATAATAATATAAAACGAGACGAGGAAAATGAAAACTATACCTTTAGCAAGTGAAATAACACTATCTTCAAGAAGTGCTTCAAGTGCAGAACGAAGATGACTCTAAAATAAAATATTAAATTTTGTTGATTAAGGATACAATAAATATTAGTAGAAATCTTACATTAGCAATTTTACCACTGTTGATTCCATAAGAACTTCTGATATGGTTCATAATTTTTGATCGACTTGAACCTGATCGGGAATTGAGCTAAAGAAAAATATTTGTTTTTTTGTTATATCATAGAAGTAAGACTATTTAAGTAACTTACTGTTTGAAGTGCTTCGGTAACCATACGTTGATAAGTTGGATGACTTGATGTTGTAGTACCAGCTCGTCGATTTTTATTATTTGTATTAGTTTTTTTTGGTGAATTTGATTGATTTTTATTTGGTGAATTATTATTTTGTGATGATCGTGATTTTGATGGTGAACCACCTTTTGTTTGACTTGATGCTTTTGTATTGCCCGATGCCTTTTTAGCAGACGCCATGATCGATTAGAATAGGAGTTAATAATTTAAATGTGTGTGTATGTATATGTGTGCAGTGCGGAATTAAAAAGGATGAAATGAATGAATAAACGAAATGATCGAGTTATATTTAGGTTCTTTGCAAACAATCATACTATTTTCTTTTCATTGTTATCTATAAATTTAGTCGTCCATGATCGAGAATTGAAATGGCGTCTTCTATACAGACCATAATACATACGATGATAAAACCTCGATTTGTATAAATTTTCAAAATAGACAATGAATACAATAGTCGTTATTTTCGATAACACTGACTATAGTGAAAGAACGAATAAGAAAAATAAAAGTTAAACTATCTGACATAGTAGATCGATTAAGTACGAAAAGAGTTATATAATGATTCTTCTAACATCTATTGTCACTAATTTCTATTATTTATGGATACTTTGTATGAGTTTATATTGAAAGATTTCCTTGAAAATATATTTAGTCATATGACTGCAATTAATTGTCTATTTTTAAATTGATTCTTTTAAGACACGATAAATACATCATTGCTAATAGAAAATGTCATAATTTAGAAAAGACTATTTTAACCAAAAGACTGTCAAGATAAATCTTTTATATCTTATTTAAATATTTCTTCGTAATTCAATGATAATATATATATCTATATTTATAGTATTTTTCTTATATTGACACCCAAATAATAATCTTTTTTATTAGTAATATATCCGGAGGTGATATATTTTTCTATATAATGGCATAATAATACCCTATGCAAATTTTTTGTTTATTAAATTTGCATAGTAGACGAATTTGTTAATTTAATAGGAAAAAAAATGAAGAAGAAGAATTCTAATAAAATAGTTTTTATTTGAGTATGACAAAAAAGAAATACTATATATATTTATGTTGTTTAAATAAGTGATAATTTAAAGAAAATGTTGAAGACTTTGTCGACCATTGTTTTTCTTATATTTATCTAGTCGAAATAGAACAGCTCCATTTTGATATTTGGTATAAATATTTTGTTCGTTAGTTTTTAATGGTAATAATTGTCCTGGTGATCGTTGTTGTTGTTGTTGTTTAGTTGAACAAATTAAATTTTGTTCTGTTTGTGGTATTGAACGTTTCGACCAATATGTATAAATCTGACAACGTGAATATCGACGAAATAAATGTAATAATTCAATACGAAAACGTGCACATGAAAAAACAAAAGCTAAAAAATTTGATGCATGATGAAAATGAAGTAAAATATTTGTACATATATGTAAAACATAATGAAAATTATTTAATTTACGAGTTATTAATATATAAATTGTATGTATAGTTGATGGTGTTGCTGTTAATACAAAACATATTGATGATGTAACAAGCATAGCTGTTAATTGTCGTTGTTTACTTGATAAATCATATTTATTTGTATATATCAATTGATTATTAATTAAACTAGCACTTCTTCTATTTCGATTTAATGTACGTTCAATACGTGATGCATAATGAAGATGTTGAATAATAATAATATTACAAATAATACATAATGGTACAGTAAACCAATATGTTAAACCAGATCTTACACATTCCCATGTTAAACGATGAAAATTTCGTTTAAATGTACAAATTGATCGTATTGGTATAGTTTGATTAGGACTATATACATATTCAATGTGCATATGTTGTGCATAATGACTGAATATAAGTAAAGAAATAATAAATAATATAACTACAAATAAACGCGATTTAATCCGACTAGTTAAACGTGGCATGTGACATGGATTGAATACTAATGAACAACGTTCAATATTAATAAAACAAACAATCCAAACTGATAAAAGTCGAAATACATCCATAAGAAAAAAAACTAAACAATCATAGGATGTTACTTGTGGATGAAGTTTAGTAACAATTTGTAAACTTTGTAAACATAAGACAATACAATCAGCAATGGAAAGTGCTGATATAAAAGCAGCTGAAGTTGTTTTACGAAAAAAATGTTGATTAACAACAATTAATATTAAAATATTTCCTGTACATCCAAATACAGTTAAAGATAGAATAGCAATCGTACGAACACGTTCCAGAAACAACATCTACAATAATAAGTAAAAATGCACGATAGAAAATTCTATTTTCTATAAAATTTAATATCAAGAACAAATATAAGTAAAAAAAAGACATTAGTTCTTTTTTTTTCTTCTTCTCTTTACCTTATATTATTATAGAAAATGAAGTTAGAAAGAAATATGATTATAATATAGTGTGATAGATCATCCTAAGGGCGTCAAAAGGCCAATGCTCACGATCCCTCATTATTAATAACTTCATTACTGCAACAATTTCTCTTAATGTATTTATTATTTCCCTACAACAATATGAATAATTATTACTGCAGACATACCATAATACAAAACATTCACATACCACTATTTTCCTCTCTACTATTGTTTTTAGGGTTTTCAAGCACAAGAATAAATTGTATTGTCTCAAAACAACATTATGTTATTGTTTCTATTGCTGAGTACATAGATATAAAAGAAAGGGAAATCAATTCTATTATTAACATTATATTTATATACGTATAGAATAAAAATCCAATTGAAATATATGATTTTGTTTTTGCTATTAATAGAAAAGAGAATACCTTCCGTAAAGATTTCTTTTTTAAATAATCTCATCATACTATTTAGTAATCTACGAAATGGAATAATTCTACTTACTTTTTTTCTCACCAAATTTTACCAATAGTTGTTCCTCGTACTTAGTAACATTTGTAAAGAAATTATTTCCGAATGTGTATATGATTGATTACATACACCATTTTCTCATACATTTAAAACTACTCGGAAATATAACAATTGTTTACTTTTATGATTTGTATCATAGTATTTCTGTTGTTCGTTGTTAAACATTATTGTTTTATATTATTGAGTGGTTTTTGTTCGATTATCTCGATCATTACATACGATTAAACATATATAGAAGGACAAGAAACGTATTGATGATGATGATGATGGATCTATATAAAAAAAAACGGCTTTTTTATGCATTCGATAATTCTATATGCTTATTTTATCTAGGAAAAATAATCAATGTAACAAAAAGAAAAATATTTATCAATCGAAAGAGAGATATACAGAATCATCTTCAAGGCATCTGTCTTGATTTTTGCTATTTTCATATTCATGTCGCCTACGTTTTCTCATGAGAACTGTGTGATTTTATTTTTATTGTATTCATCTAATAATGAATGATATAGAAGATAATACCGAGAATTGTGTTTTTTCTTTATGTCATTTTCAATTAATCCAAGACAGAAAAAAAATTCCAACAGATTCTGATTTGATTTTGTATAGATGATTATTATAATAATTAAATTTTATTGATTTTATGACGTATCTGTACGTTTTCTTTTTTTTTGTTATATATGACCTTATTAAATATTTGCCTGTAATTGTTGATATAAACCAGACATATCACTAACGATATTGTCGATTGAGTAGGTAGAAATAAGAAAAATTTCTGTATACTTAATATAAAATGACTACTTAATAATTCAATTAATTTTTTTTTTGTACAAAAAAATTCTGTCTAGTTCAGTTAAAAATCAATAAAATACGTAAATTATATTTATCATTCAATAGTGACAACAAAATTAGCATACTCGAAGAGATTTCTACAATAATTACATTAGAATTTAATATCAATGTAGCAGAATTCCTATCATGTTACTTAGCTATAGTCTTTTATATAGCTGAACAATTGAATTTCCTAGTTTATTGATTATTTTTTAGTTTTGTCGTTTTGTCAAAGTATTTTCAATTGATAAACTAGCAATAGAATTAGAAATGAATAGAAATAAAAATCATGATTTTATAAAAAAAAAAAGATTTTTTCATCTCATCAAATAGTATTAAAATTACATAATGAAAAATTTTCTATTAAAAGAAAATACCTTTTTTCTTATCTACTGTCATTCAGTAATACTTTGATCTTTTACGCTATTAGATATATTTAGGTTGCTGTTTTGCTTTAATCTTTTCATGTCATAATAATTAATTAGAGTCAGTTTAGTCTGAATAGTATATATTTCTTTTTATGTCATCATCAAGTATATATATACTTTCTTTTCTTGTGACCCTTTACAAGGATATTCTATGGCAGTGCATCTATCGCACCATTAACTCTTTTATAATGTGCTTAACTATGTTTACAATAGTATACTTTTATCTTTTTCTTTATGTTTATGTAGAAAGCTGCATGAATGATTTTGTTAAATAGAACAGAAAATTCAACCCCATTATTATGTTCATCTACTAATGATATTTTCATAAATAAATTATTTATTTTACACATACAATACTTTTTTCTGATGTATATCTTCTTTGTTTAGTTTATATAAGATTAATATCAAATAATGATAATGCTTACCTTTTTTTCGAAAAAAAAAGTGAATATTATTTAATCGATATTTTATAAGTTCGATCAATTGTAATTATTCCTTAGAAAAATATAATAAGTACTCTTACTATTCATAGCTTTTATTTCAGTACTATTCATCGTCTTTTTTTTTTGTTATTTTCCAGCTGTTCGATACTTCAATAACATCGTCAAAATCAATCAAGAATAAGACAATGAAAAATCATTTTGTTATATACATTAATATTGAATTTGACAGTTCTTTTATTTTTATTTGAAGCATGAAAATATGATATTTTATCGATTTGGATTATATTCATAAATTCTTCAAAGATTATTCTATATTGAATCTCTATTTCATATAGTCACTAAATTACAAAGAAGAACAAGTCTATTTGAGAAAGGAAATGAAGCCGGAACTTATCATTTTCTTCCGAAAAACTTGCATCCGATTTTGACTGTCAATTTTTATCATACTTTGTTACCAATCTAATATTTTAGAAAGAACAACAAGAATTGATTAATATTCAAGAACAAATCAGCTATCAAATAAGAAAAAAATCCGTTTTTTTTTTTCTTTTTTTGAATAACATCACGTTTAACTAAATATAATTTTTAATGAATATTTAAAAATAAAAATGAATTAATTAAGTTTTAAGTAGATAAATTTAGAAAATCTTATTCGATATTATTTATAATCTTCTTTACATGTTTTTTTTTCCTTCTTCTATATTTTAATTATTTTAATTGTTATTTAATATCATACAATAATCTTGCAATCAATTTACTTATAAAATAAAAGGAAATGTTTTTTTTTCCCATTGTTCAACTGAAATTTTTTTTCTCATTAAAAATAGAAAGAGAAAATAATTCTCTATTTGTGCGTATGTATGTGCGTTTGTTGTATACAAAGAGAACAAAAAAGAAAACGAGAGAGAGAGAGAGAGAAAATAAAAGAAAACAAAAGTACAAATGCAAAAAAGAAGAAAAAATCAATATTTTTTTCTCTTTTTGTGTTTTGTCTGTGTCTATCATACAGGACTAAGAGAAAAAGGGAGCATAAAATAGAGGAAAAATAGAGGAGTGCATAATACACCCACAGACAAATACACACGGAAGAGCATCGATAAGAATAAAACAAAACGAAGAAGAGAGAGAGAGAAAAAAAAGAAGAAGAGAGGTCGTGCGGTTGCAACAAAACAACAATCCGAAAGTCATCAGTATCATCATCTTATTGTTTTCTATACACACACACACACACACACACACACACAAGATGAAAAAATAAAATAAAAGAGAAAACGCATAAAAGGAAGAAAACCTTCGTTGTTCGTTGTTTATCCGCAGTGAAGTAATAGTAGTAGTTGTTGATGTTGTTCTAGTAGTTCTAACAGCAATAGGCAATAAAAACCTTGAGCTGTATGCATACATACATACATATACGCACAAAGAGAAGATAAAAATGGAGAAAAAAAGAGAGAGCGAGCGAGAGAGAAAGAGAGAAAAAAAAGCAAAACGAACGATAATGGGTAACAAGCGTCGTCATCATCATTATATTATCTCAACAATTGAATGAACCAAAGAGCAAGGGATAAATTTAGAAAGAAAATGGCAATGAATACTCGATTTCGGTAGATGACATTCTAAAAATAATAATAAAAAAAGAGAATTTAATCAATCGAGTTTTTGCAATTGTTATTAAGCAAAACAGAAATACGAAACTATTTACTAATATATATACCTGAATGCCACCATCACGATCGTCCGTTTGTATTGATGTCTCTTGAGTAGATACATGCATATTGGTGGTGATAGCTGAGCCAGTAGTAGGAGTATTAGACTGAAAAACATGCACATGCAAATCAGGTCTTAATCTCTTGAGAAAAAAAACTAAAACTCATATATTCCCATGATACACGTTTGGTATTGATCAAAAGTTAAGCAATTTTCTTTTCTCTTTTCTTTCTTGTTTATTATTATTATTATTATTATTATTATTTCGATAGTTCTTTTTAGCATGCGCTAATGTGCGTGTGATCGATGTTAATCGTCAACAGCAGTTGACATCACTAAGGTCCAAGAAACTCAATGGTTGTGTCTAATCGAAGTTAGAAATAGAAAAGTAGGGAAAGGGGAAAAGATCAATTGCAAATGCGAAACAGCTTTGCTAGACAGAAACTTAATGACTGGATTACAATGATGAATGAGATAGCACTCTGATGTCTATTTACTTGAAAATAGGACAAATATGTTTCTTTTTATCTATCAATCATGGTTAAATAGAATGATCAAACAACTGTTATTACATATATGTAATACATTCAACATGCTGCAAAATCTTTATTTTTCTTTACCTGTAGCAAAGTTTTAAGACGACCAATTGTTGTTGAATCACGATCGCGTTGACGTCGTAATTCTTCTCGTCGTTGAGAACCGAGTATTGTTGCTTCTTCTCTAGATATACCTGAAAAAAAGATAAAAGACAAATTTAAAACATGTATCTATGTTTAAATTAAATAAATTTACTAGGAGCTGCTTGACGTTTTCTAGCAACATTAACAAGTGTTGGCATACTACCACGTTTATTTCCACCGGTACCACTTGTAGTTGATGTTGGTGCATCAACTCGTTGAACACTTTCGAGAATAATACGACGAGCAAGTGTTGGTGAACCACTACTGCTCGTCATCACAGTTGGTTGTGGTATTGGTGATCCACTTTCTGTATAAGTGGTTGTTTGTTCTGTAACACGTTTACGTATACCATTTTCAATAATAAATGTTTCTTTTTGTAAATTATCACTTGATCGAGCTGTTTCATCAATTTTATAATCACCAGGTTTAGTTTTAACAATACTTGGTAAAGATTTTCGTCTTGGGATAGGAATAGGTTGTGGAACATCATATGC